TTTTTTTGAAAGTATGCATGCTCATAATTTATTCAATAGTTAAGACAACCTAAAAGAATAATAATGAATGCAGTAACTGTGAATGAAAATGATAAATATTATCTAAATTTGTTCCATTTCTCTCAGAATTTTTTTTTAGATTAGTTTACAATAAAATTGAAACAAATTATTTTAGACATGATCAAAACCCTCTTCACTATTTTTAAGAAAATTCAATATTAATCTTTCTATATAAAATAAATTTTAATTAGCAATATATTTCATAGAAAAAAAAGATACCTCTGTATTATGTCACTAAAATAAACATAAATCAAGTAATTCAACTAAATGAAATTTCATTACTAAACTGCTTCACACAATTTCGGCAGATCAAACAAAGGATTTCTAAGGAAGCAGAGAAAAACTTTGATAAATGAATTTTTATAACGATTTTCTTAAAATACATACATTTTACAAACTATTTACTTTAAAATCTAACGCGTGGTATTCACAGATATTTAATAAAATTCATTAATCTTTTTAAAAATTTCATGTAATTTTTTTATATACTGCTATGAAACGAACACTAATATTATAAATCTTTAATCAATAAGAATTACCTGTAATTAAAACTTTCATGATGATAAAATATGAAATCCCGCGCAGCCAAACACAGAAAATGGCTTCCTCTAACAATAGCTTTTGTTTAAACAACGCCAATTGCTTTGGCGAAAAAGTTTGGTCACACAATCAATATAGGGTTATAAGAAAATTGATGGATAAAAGCTAGCGTCAAGCTCACTCCGCCCAGTTACCAATTCCTAAATTGACCAAATATCCTACTGGGTGAGGTCCCGCAGTGGACTGATCGTTAGGACACGGTTCCCAGCAGATCACCGAAGTCAAGCATCACTGGCTACTGTCAGTGTGCTGGGTGGTTGACCACTTGGATCAGTCTGCGTAGGGACCGAGGGTGTGCGGTATTGGTCCTCGTTAAACTGTGCTACCGTAAAGTGCTCGACTTCGCGCGCAGGTCGTCGGGCTACCGAAGCGGGGGTGCCATCCCCTCCGCAGAGGATCAAAAATTGTGATGGCATGTCTTCGGATCATCCTCCGGGATGTTTCCCAGCTCTAGTGCGACATAAAATAACAACAAGAACAAGCTACTGAGTGAGAATGAAAACCTGATTAGTGAAATTTATTCTTCCCTTAATCAATCTGGTTCTCCTTCTTCATAGACAGTGATCGCAGATGCGAGATTAACATGCAAGGAGAATACTTATTAAGATTCATAATTAATGGAAAGTTGAAAAAAGATTAATCGAAAAACTGATCACGCATGCACGAGACAAGTATGATTAAATACAGTAAGAATGCCCCTTTTTTAAACGTTCTGACTGTATACCAAAAATTAAAGTGTGCGAATTCCAGGACCATTGTCACTGAATACGAATCAAGCACTTATGATCGCCGAAAACAAAAATAGAAAGCCTGATAGGTGACTATTTCGGAGAGAAACATTTTTCTTTTTACTTATTCTTCTTTCTTTTTACTTATTCTTCTTTCTTTTTACTTATTCTTATTCGCACTTATTCGTACTCGACAACAAGTCGAAGAGCATGAGCCGCATTTAGCGAGAAAGGCTTTTTAGAGATAAGATTGAGAACCTAATTGATAAAATATATTTATCGGCGAAAACCTAGGGTCAATGTATATGACTGCCTTAGACGCGCATGTGAATGTTTCAGTTTATAAACACTATTTAAATATTCGAGGAATGTGTTTTTCATTGGCATTTGTTGATATTCTCTTACGAATGGTGCTTTCTACACTAAGGAACGCTGCAAGCTCCTTACCGCCTATACTTCCGTGTTACTGTTACAGCTGTATTTCCAAGCCATTTGGCTCACAACGATATCATTGTGCTTTGAGATTCTTGCAAACGTGGTATTTGATTACTTATTACTTGTGTTTACAATGCTAAAGATCCTAACGCTAACGTAAGATGGTGCACAGCTTGCAACAAGGACAACCAGTAAAAAACAAATGAACTAGCAGAAGAACATTACAGTCACTGATCCTTGAAATATTTAAACAAATTATTATGGAAATTTTTTTAATTATCCTAATTAAATACATAATTTTAAAAATTAGAATATGCATCACACTAAATCAAAATGAAAATGATGGAAGTAGAAATTTAATTTAAAATTCAATAGTCTAGCTCATTTGCTCCTCACAGCATACGGTAGCACATAACTAGTTTTGAACATTTTTCTGTTCCTAATCTATTACGGAGTTTCGAATGAATTAGTCCAAAACTGGAAAACATCCGTTCTATTGAAGCAGAACTGGCAGGGCATGACAAAAGTTGTATGGCTAATTCTACAAATTCAGAAGCTGGACCGGACTTAAAAGATTCACATTTGCTTATAGCCTAGTTACTTCCATGTTACTGGATCCATATTTTTCACACTTGGTAAAAAATAAGAAGATGGAAATGGTGATGCTTCACTTTCAGATGATATTACGAATGGTAAACAATTAACCCACAATTTTTTTTTCCAGCCCAAATACGAGCACCTTCACTTTGTGTATCTGACAAACCTTCTCCCTTACACATTGCATGTAACATATAGGCAGAGCCTGACAAAGGTAGGGGCATGCGGCGCAGCCTCTCCGAACCACGACATCAAGGGGGGGGGGCCCAATTCGACTAGAAAGTTTATTTTACGCTACTTTAATTAATAATTTTTTTTAAACAAAATATCAGTTCAGTGTAAAATTAGCTTCTTCATTAATCTATCGTATGAGCACAGAAAATCTAAATTTCGTAAATCCATGGCTTTCTAGGACATAATTCAGCTATTCCAGCCTGTATTTTTACATATCGCAAAATGTGATATGTTTACAAAAATACAGGCTCCTGATTGGCTTAATTGAGTAATCGTAATTGTTAATCACAACTGCTCAACTGCTGTTGAATTTTTGCAGCACTGAGAAATCAAAACAATAAATTATGAGTTGTATTTTCTCAAAAAATGTGAAATATTCTTTTTATTAATTAATTTCATTTGCAAGACTATGAAAATCTCCCGCATCCCTTCCCAAAGAGTCCCGCAGTGGACTGATCGTTAAGACAGGGTTCTCATCAGATCACCGAAGTCAAGCATCACTGGCTGCAGTCAGTGTGCAGGTGGGTGACCCACTTGGATCAGTCTGCGTAGGGACCGAGGGTGTGCGGTATTGGTCCTCGTTAAACTGTGCTACCGTAAAGTGCTCGACTTCGCGTGCAGGTCGTTGGGCTACCGAAGCGGGGGTGCTATCCCCTCTGCAGAGGATCAAAATTGTGATGGCATGTCTTCGGATCGTCCTCAGGGATGTTTCCCAGACCGTCGCCAATAGCCCACTGTGAAGCTCTAGTGTGACGTAAATCAACAGCAACAACAGCAACCCTTCCCAAATATCGAATGATACCGCACAGTGATGACTGCAACCGTATCTTAACTGATCACGTGACTTCACGATCTTTGTTTACAATCAATCGTGTAGCGCGCTTTCAAATGTAAGTAAAATGTAATGTGTTTTCGTGTTGAGCTTCTAGTAAACTTGGTAAGTTTCGGCTAAACTATGTTATTCTTTATTTGAAAAAACTTGAGATTTTTATAGGTGGTGAGTAAGTTCTGTTTACAGATATTGTTTATTATGATACATACTATACATAATTCTTGACTATTTTGTTTAGCCCATAATAAATTAGCTTGACTGTGATGCCAGATTTATAAATAGGTCAGAATAATTTAAATATTTTTTGTTACAAGATGAAATTGCATTGTTTTTTGATTAATAACTTCTGGGTGGCAGAGCTGAACCATAAACATTTTGCTGACATTTTTAGGTATACACGTTATTTTTTTTAATTCTTATATCTATTAAAAGCAGAATTAATTCATTTTTTATGTGTATCTCCACAAGCTTATTAAACTATTTTAATTAGGTTTTGATGATATTTGTGTTCTGTGGGAGGGTGTGCTTTTTCCTTAAAAATAGTGTTTGTTTTGGAAATTAGAAGTGGTTGTTTATTTCACATAGTGGTTGTTATGCACATAGTTGGCTTAATTATTATCGTTTAGTTTATAGGGAATAATTTATTTTGATTAAATTCTTAATTATACTGTATTAAAGCTACAATAAAAAATGGAGCGGTCTTACATGTCTGGGAGTCAGAAAAGGAAACATAAAAAGGCTCGAGAACTTCAAGCTAAAAAGGCTAAATGGAGCATCTTAAAATTCTTTCCTGCACGTATAGAAGAATCGGAAATCTCTCCTGCATCACAAATGCAACCGTTACCCAATTTGCAAGATGTTGGTGATATAAAGCCCCATGAACGCGAAGAACTGGAGTGTGCTTCTGTAGATGAAATGCCCCAAAATAACAAACAGGAAGTACCAATCAATGATCCGGCTGCCGATTATGAAGTGCACCAAGAACAAGAATGTTTTACCGCAAATGTTTTATCACCTGAAAAGGACATTCAGCGAAAAGTGCCGATTGATGATCCGGCTAAATGGCACACTATCACTGATGATATGATCGATCATTTTCTTAGAAAGCCACCTCCACAAAATATGGATCTGGTAAAAAACACTGTGAAAATATTCAATGGAGGCAAACGTCTTTTAACCAAAATTAATTTTTTTAAAATTAAAAAAAACGGTGAAAAATTGGCAAGAGAATGGCTGGTATTATCAGCATCAGAAAAGAAATTATTTTGCTGGGTTTGCAAATTATTTGGAAATACAACAACTAGCCTTTCAACATCTGGCTTCGATGATTGGAAGCATGTTGTCTTTCGACTTACAGAGCATGAAAATTCTTTTATGCACTGGGAATCAATTTTAAGGTTTACCCAAAGACTTAAAACTGAAAAAAGAATTGATTCTGCAATAATCAAGCAATATCAAAGTGAAGTACATTACTGGCATTCAGTATTACAAAGAATTGTTGAAACAGTTAAATTTTTATCATCAAGAGGTATGGCTTTTTTTGGGGAAAATGAAATGTTCGGTTCAACTCATAATGGGAACTTTTTGGGTTGCCTTGAATTGATAGCCCACTTTGATCCATTTCTTGTGAAGCATATCGAAAAAGCTGGTAATCAAGGAATTGGCAATGTTAATTATTTATCATCAACAATTGTGAATGAATTTGTTGAATTAATGGGTGAAAAAGTCTTGAATGTTGTTATTACAGAAGTTATAGATGCCAAGTATTTTTTAATTATAGTCGATTCTACTCCAGATGTTACCCATATGGACCAGTTAACTTTAATTTTGCGATATCTTGGTCCTGATTATAAACCTGTTGAAAGGTTTATAAATTTTATACAAATTTTTGGTCACAATGCAGAAAGTTTAACCAATGTTATATTGCAAGTTTTGGAAGATTGAGGTCTTGACGTAAAATATTGCAGGGGCCACAGTTATGACAACGCCTCCAAGTTGGCAGAGAAATATTCAGGTGTTCAAGCAAGAATTAAAAATATTAATTCTACTGTGGAATACGTACCATGTTCTGCTCATTCTTTGAATTTGCTTGGAATAAATGCTGTAGAATCCTGTATTAGAGTTTTCTGTTTCAACATACCGATGGCAGATTATGATTGATAATTTTAAAGGAAGTAAGCAAAAACTGACCTTAAAAAATTGTTCATGTACACGATGGTGTGCTACTAAGGCATTGCGTCAAAACTACGCTTCAGTTTAAAAATCTTTGAGTTATTTGGGAGACTATCAAGACCAAACTTCTTCCACTAGAAATGAAGTTAAAGCTCTTTTTAAAAAATTACTTAAGATTGAAAATGCACTAAATACAGTTGTGTGGGATAGCATTTTACAAAGATCACATCAAGCTAGTGAAGTTCTGCAAAATTCTAATGTTCAATTAGAGATAGTATCGCCATTAATTGACTCTTTAATAAGTTTCGTGCAGTCAGTTCAAAATGAATTTGACAAATATGAAGATGAAGCATTGCAAATTTTGCCAGAAAACAGTATGTATGAGGCAAAAAGAAAAAAAATTACACCTCAAATGAATACATTATTAACTGTCACTACAAGTTATGTGACACATTGATTATAAACTTAACAAACTGCAAAATTCCATATGAAAAATTGCAAAATAGATTTTCATGTTTGCTAAACACAGGATCAAATTTCCAAATAACCAAAGCAGAGGAATTAGTAAGGCACTATCCTTCTGATTTAGACGAGGAGTTCCCTGATGAACTGCAACATTTTCATTGTTTTCCAGTAGATAAGCAGGCAACTGCATTAGATATGATAAAAATGTTAAAAAAATTTAATTGATCTTCATCATTTTCTAATGTTGAGACTGCACTTCAAATTTTTTTATCATTACAATTTCAAACTGCACTGACCAAAGATCCTTTTCATTGCTGAAAAGATTAAAATCTCCCATAAGGTCATACATTCTTCAAAGAAAATTGTCTCAACTTTCTATGTTATGTTTAAATTCGGATATAACAAAAAATATTGATTATAATGATATAATTGATAATTTTGCTGAAAGTAAAATTAGAAAAAAACCATTGAAAAAGAAATAGACATAATATTGACTTATCATGCAAAATTGTCTCTGTCTCATAACAATATTGTATGTAATTGTAAAATTACAGTTATATTATGGTACAATTTATAATCTCCCTCTTTTACACTGAATTCCTAGTTATGTAATTTTTTCTTCATTTATTGAAAGAATAGTAAATCTTGGTTTAAAACTGAGTAAGTATAATAAACATGTTAAAATTTTGTTGATTTAAAAATAAACATCATCATTCAAGGTCAATATAAATGTTATTATTTTCAGTTTTTTTACACAGTAATGGCTGGTTGACCGACCATTTAAAGCTAAGCACATATGGCGCTAGGGGGGCCCCGAGATGTTTTTGCCTCGGGCCCCAATTAGGCTAAGTCAGACCCTGCATATAGGCCAAAAAATGGAAGGGCTTAAGTATTTCCTTCATTCTCTTCTGAATTACAGAAATATGTGGTTGCAATGAAACGTCCTTTATTAGAGACAGCCATATTGAACATGCATCAGCAATCGAACAAGTATCTTTTTGTGAGGTTTCTAGACCAATAGCAACTGGCTGAAGCATCGAGAACAGATCCTTGCATTGCTTAAACAAATTGTAGTCATCTACAAATGTCAGCATCAACTTTCTCTTCATATTTTTCTGCAATCTGTATGTAAAATGATCTATTCTTTAAAAAAGTATTAATGCATGTAAGTTGACTGTTCCACCTTGTGTCTCCAGTAATTGAGGTTTTAAAGATTCAGGGAATTCTTTAAGCAAACCTGCTGGAAAGTGGCAATTTCTGAAGTACTTTTGAATCTTTACGACTTGTTTCATTATTGTCTCTGGAGTAAGAGCTTGTCCAACTAAATTCAACCAGTGAGCTGAACACCCATACAACAGTAACTCATTTCCATTATCTGCCAAAAGTTCTCTTGTCTTTTCCATTATCTGTAACAACTGCTTTGACATCACAGGAATATTTATCTTTAGCTTTCTCAATTGCATTTTCAATTATGTGTTTATGAAAATCTGCATTTTTTGTAGTTGCACCAGCCTCAATGGCATACAGAAAGTAAACCTTTCCTTCACTATGAATACAGGTTGCTATAACTCAGTGGTTCCCAACCTTTTGAGGACCATCGCTCCCCTCTTGGGGTTGGCTGACACATATCGCCCCTTTCTCTTTTAGCTCAAAAAACCATTCATTGTTGCTTGTGAGCAACCGAACACTGAAAATATGCTATGTTATTTGATTTTAATTTAAATTGTAATGCAAATAAGGAGGCACATTTATCCTGTCATTTTTATTAATTAAAAATTTTATTCCTACCATATTTTTTTTTTCCAAAAAGAAATGATATTTAGAACGGAATAATCAAAGCAAAAGTACATTTTTTAAAATTCATAGTTTAATGTAATCAAGAAAAAGTTAAAACGTTAACAACTAAATTTTGAGAAAAAAAAAATGAAGAGGGAGAAAGTACATTTTTACCACTTCAATGACTGCCCTGTGCTTGGTGTATTTCAAGTTAAAGCTTGAATGTCAGGTTTTATGCTCGTCAAATGTCCAACCTATCCCTTTGCTTTGTGAGCAGCTGGAAGACAGAACTAAATCCTCTCTCCACTAAATATGTTGACGGGAACGAGAAGCGACTCAGTTTGTTTCCACAATTGTGGATAAGTGTCTATAAGCTTCACCCAAGCTAACTCGTAACCGTATTTTTTAAAGACGACTTTAGCCTCACAGTCATACTTCAAATCTAAAATCTCAGTTTACAAAGAGGAAGTGAGCTTATCCACAACTTCAAAAGAGAAAGGATCGAAAATCCAATCCGAAATTTCTAATTTCATTAAATCTTTAAATCTTGATTCCATAACTGATCAAGGTGATCAGTAAAAATTAAGATTTTATTTTCGAGAACTTCGATATCTGCCATCGAACACTTTTTAAGAGTTGGAAATTGCATTATCTCTTTGCGACCAATATTTGACTTGTAGATATCAAACTTGGCTATGAATGAAGATATGATTCCCTTAACCTTGATTATGTTCATTTCATTTCCTTGAAGTTTTACGTTCCTTCCTTCATTTGCGTTTCCTTCATTTTTTCAAAACTATGAGTGAGGTACGCAGTTTCAACTTGCGTTGCTTCAAACTCTCACTTAAAACAGGATCTGTGGTGTCGAGAAACTCAGTAACCGAATCCAGCAATTCGAAGAAACGGCTCAGTTTCCTTTTGAAAGCCATCTCACAGCTGTATGTAGGAGCAGGAATTCGAAATCTTCATCATTTTCATGGCAAAGTTCTCGGAACAAACGGTTATTAGGAGAATTAGCTTTTATTTTATGGATGCCAGAAATAACCAATTTTTTGCAGCCAAAGGTTGACGATGAATGACATAATGAATGGTGAGATAACTTCCGGTACTTCTTTTTTAAGGTGACCCAGTATGACAACCAGACATGGTTGGAGCACCATCTGTTGCACAAGCACTTACGTTTGTGAGGGGAATTTCTTTTACCTCAAAATAATCTTTGACCAATTTAAAAAACGACAATCCTTTTGTATCTGTGTTCAAAGTTCTTGTAAACAACATTTCCTCGTTAATCTCCTTACTCTCATTTATGAATCTCACGTAAGCTAAAACAGCTTTGTTATCTATCACAGTTGATTCATCAATCTGCAACTCAAATTTACCTTCTTTCAGAAATTTGATGAGTTTTGATTCAACGTTGGCGGCCATCTCATCAATACGCCTGGAAACAGTATTATTGCTCAGAGGAACAGAGTGACTTATCAGATTTCCGCCTGCGCTACCAAAACGTATGACAAAAACGATCCTGCACTTGAATTTTTTTTAATTTTTAACAATCATAATTCTTTGTCTACACCAGAACCATAGGTTTCACATATATTTTCAATCTCAAATAGTTTTATTATTAATATTATAAGCAATTTTTATCTTTTCAGAACTTGTCGCCCCTGATCGCCCCCCTAAGGATTATCGCCCCGATGACAAGCTCTATTGCCCCCCTTTGGGGCGATCGCCCCCAGGTTGGGAACCACTGCTATAACTGAATCATTGTGAATGTTGCTCCAGCCATCTTCTACTAATGTAACTTTTTCCCCCTTCAGTTTCTCTTTAGTTAGTTGTTTGAAACTTCATCCAGCAACGAATTAGATAATGCTTTTCTGGTAGGGGGAAAATATCCAGGTCGTAATGCAGATATCATATTTTGGAATGTTGGGTGTTCCACAACATTGAAAGGAATGCTGTTAGCATAAAAAAAATTTTGCAACTAGGGTGCCCAATTTATGTGCTGCATCTGTACTTGTTCTTAAAAAAAAGGTTAGGCTTTACTTTCTTGCTTGGCATTTCAAGTTCAGTTTCATCAACATTAACCTCATCATCTGCACAACTCAAAGTAGTTGATTCTTTATTTTTCAAACACTGAGCAATATGGGTTTTCATTCAGTCTAGACGATTTGCTCTAACATTTCCACAATATTTGCATTTTGCATAATGTTTTCCATCAATTTCAATTTTATGGAAATGTTGCCACACTAAATCTGTAGGTCTGCCACCATAAATCATGCTTTCTTTTTAAAAATTTTTTTTTTATTGGTGAAATAGAAAAAAAATTAAGACCAGCAGAACCTAATTTGTGTAACTGAAAAATAGAATTTAACTCTAATGAATACAGAGATAAACCACACAGGAGATACTGGTTGAAAGTAAAGAGAGACCTCTGAAAAAAGAATACAAAAGAACTGGTTTTCCGATAACAGGTCCACCCCCATTTTGAGTGAAGGGGAGATGGGGATTAGAAGTATAAAGAAGATCTGTATTCCAGGAATACAAAAGCAACACCCTGGGGACATTTTCTACTCCACCAAACAAAGTATGTTGAAAGCAGTTCGCTAATCCCCCTCCCCCCAGTTTACTTTAGAAGAGCTAAAAATAGACAAAAATTCCCTGATTGTGAATGTTGCATGTGCCCAACCTGTTTAAAAAATTTTTCATTAAAGAATGTCTAATTTTTAGTATGATCTATACTATACATTAAATTTGGTTATAAATAAATTTCTTAATAATATTAAATGCAGATTTTAATTAACACATGAAAATGAATACATAATATTACAAAAGATGTGAGTTTTCAAAAGTACAAGATTTTGGTTACTATTCAAAATATAAGTTTTTCTTCAAAATTTTAAATGTATTTTTTCTAGAACATATTTAGAAACACTATCCTTTATAAAAAATATATAAATTTTATGTATTAATTAAATTTCACATATGAATATAGGTTTTTGACGTGATGGTTTAAACCGTCAAAAACTGTCTCATGCCAAAAACCTGCCAACCCTGTTCTATTACCATCGAACTAAACAATTTGTTCATTTCGTCTATACCACTTTCATCATTGTGTTTAGATGCTTGTCTTGTAATAATTTTTTTAATATTCCTGTTCTCTGGTTAATAATTTATCAATTATTTCTTGATTTCTAAAATTGGAGTATTTATATATTTCTTTAGTAATACGTGTGGATCATATACTACAAAAGTAATTACTGATATAATGTGGTTATTTCAGTAATTACTTTTGTAGTATATGATCATATTATACAGAATAAGTAGTGTTAAAATTAATATAATATTCATTATCTGTTACTAGGATCTATCTAGCTTTTTCACGGCAGAGGAAATGGAAAATGGTTAGAAAAAAGTTCGGTCGTCCCCATATGCGTGCGCATCAGAGCCTGCGACCAAAATAATGAAGAAGTCCAAAGAGGAATATACAAATCCAACTGCTGTCTCTATTGAGATTCCTGAGGTAAAAATGTTTTAACATAAACCCACTGAAGTGGAAATAGAGAGCAATGTTAAAGTGAAAATTGCGCACTAGCCATAGCAAAGGAGTTCCTTAGTGGTAAAAATTTACATGCAGTTGAAAACTTTAATTTAAAAAAAAGTGGTACAGGGTGTCTACCAGTGCTATAATTCCTATAAAAGTACTATTTTTGAAAAATGGAGCTGTAAATCCTATAAAAGTACTCTAATTTTGCATTTTAATTTAATAAATAAGTCATATAAACTATTTCATTTCGTAAATTTAATTAATTTCATTTTAAACACATTTCACTATTTTAAAACAACTTCTTTCTACAGTAAAGCCTCAAACATCTTGTGCACATAAAGCTGCTACAAATCATCGATAAGGAAATGGAAGATAGGAAAACAAAGTGATCTTAAAAATGCAAATACCTTAATGTGAAAGTGATTTTAAGACCAGGCTGTTGTAAACCTGACCGATATGCTGCCACCAAATTATAATCTTTAAAGTTCAGGGTTTGAATACAGATATGCTGACTTTCAAGTTTGTAGTCTGAGTGACTGCAGTGAAAATGACTGAGTCTTCAACGAAATGGTTTTAATATCCAAACAGAAAGACGACTTCAGGTTAAACATTCAACTTTGTATATTATTTAATAAACAATAACGAGAAACTTGGTAATGATACAAGAAAATTGAAATAATTTAGTTACTGGTATGTTACATAAAGATTTAACAATACATCTGCTCTGAACGAAATCTCAATTTGTTCTGCTCTTGCAGCAACTAAAAACTATTAAACTCTACATTTCTGACGTCATATCTTTTAATGATATCCGCATACGTTTAGAATGCCAATCAACACTAATTGGACTCCCGGAAACAAATTCATGTTGCTAAGTACAGATTATCAAAGGTTAACTAATTACTGCTTAAAATAGAAGGTACTTCACCCCAGTGCATTGATATCAGGAAGTAAAGTTTGGGAACCTTAACTAACAATTTCCACAAGGCGCAATATATTTCTCAATTTCGTAACAATAAAACAAGCTAGTTTACTTTCATGCTTTTGTTGTCATGCTATGGGCTTTACTTTATGCAAAAACGTTTCAATTTACTCATAAATTTAGGTAAGTCATATATTTTTGTAAGAAAAAGTTGTATAAATTCTATAAAAATACTATAATTTGAGAAAATAAATTCAGTAGTCACCCTGGTATTAACATGTCATTATTTCTATGTTGCAGATGCTTTCAGCTGACGAATTGGATAAGATATTCATCCTTACAGGCTCATCTAATTACTCTGAAGTTTTGAAATCGTATGCCTTTGTGGACAAAACATTACACATTAGAAGCATAGTCCAAGATAAGGGTCCAATTCTGTTTTCGGGTCCCTTTTGCTGTGGAAAATCAACTAATATCAACATGATCAACTATTTTCTGGCAATAGAAGTTGACAGTGAAGGAAACGAAGTCGAGAATGTGTTAAAGAATGCAGATGGAAAGTGGGTTGAGAAGGAAATTCAAACTGAGAAATTTCAGCACTTCAAGAACCTGAACATATATAAATGTCAACTTGAAACCAAACACACTAATGATGAATGCTCGAAAGGAGAATGTTTACATAGAAATTTTTTCTACGAAAACTGCGGGCAACATCCTGTCATTTTCATAAGTTTTAAAGATGTCTCATATCATAGTAATAAATTAGAAAAATCACTTAATGAGTCTATTCGAAAGTCGAGAATGTGTTAAAGAATGCAGATGGAAAGTGGGTTGAGAAGGAAATTCAAACTGAGCAATTTCAGCACTTCAAGAACCTGAACATATATAAATGTCAACTTGAAACCAAACACACTGATGATGAATGCTCGAAAAGAGAATGTTTACATAGAAATTTTTTCTACGAAAACTGCGGGCAACATCCTGTCATTTTCATAAGTTTTAAAGATGTCTAATATCATAGTAATAAATTAGAAAAATCACTTAATGAGTCTATTCGAGATACGTTTCTGCAACATCCCTATCTTGGAGAAGATGCTCAAAGTCGTTTACCTCCGTCCTTCAGGAAATTTTTTTCTCTTAGTACTGATTTATTTTCATCCTCAGAATTTTTATCCTTAAAATTTTTGGCAGTGTGCTTGAAAATACAATTTCAGAAAAAATCCTTTGTGTTGGTAGACGAATATGATGCTCTATTCACGTGATGCTAAGCGATAACACAGTTGATGAGAAGCAGGTGCAGTCTATCAAATAGTATTGGATGTGTGATTGGCTCAGTTCTGAAAGATAATCCCAACATTTCTGGTAGCGTGGTCAATGCCTCAATGGAAATGAAGGGAACTCTATCATGCCATGCTAACAATATGATGGCCTGTACCTTTTTGGAGGATCCTATCTATAAAGATTACCTTGGATTTACAGTGACAGAAGTGGAAGAGTTGCTCAAAAAACCTTTACTTCAGAAGTTGAATAAGGTGGACCTTCAGGAATTTTACGACGGTTATAAAGTGTTAAACTTCAATATAAAAATATACAACACTTATTCCATTGTGATGTACCTGAATCAATGGATTAGACACATGAAGATGAAGCATAAAGAAAAGGAAAGTCCAAAAAGTGATGACTGCAAACCAAAGAAGTACTGGGTTGACCGAGGCATTAACCTGAGTAAAGTCTTAAGGATTACCAAATTATTAGAAATGGCTGTAGTCCTTTGTGGTAGTGGAACTGCAACAGTTCAAGCAATAGAAAACAAGATGACAATTTGTCATTTATTGAGCCTCAGAAAACTACTCAGTGAACCTGATGATGTTGTTCTGAATGACGAGTTGGTTGCATTATTTTTCCATTTCTTGAAAAATTGTGGTTACTTGTGCATTACAGAGGAGACTGCGAATACAATCACTTTGTCTGTACCAAACAAGGAAATTCAAATTTCTTTAATCAGAGATATATTTTATTCAGGATTGTGTGCAAAACTATATCGTCTGGATCATAAAAAATACATCAATGCATTAAAGAAACTTGACATGGATGCTGAATCTACATTTCAAGATTTTGCAAACTCAATTGTTAGCATGTTCCCACAAAAATCGTGGGCAAAAACACAGGATGAACTCAAAGGCATCATGTTTGCTTTTGCATTCAAGGATGATATGTTTAGCAAAGTAGAAAGTGAATGCCATGTTGTACCTGAAAGACGATTTCGAGCTGATCTTGTCATTATTAAAAAAGATGGAATTGGTGTAACTGTGGAGATAGCATCTGGTAACGATAGTGAAGAAGAGGCTTTGCAAAAAATTTTTGATAAGCAATATTTTAAAGCTCTTCCTGATAGCATTGAACAAAAAATTTACATTGGCTTGCAGTTCAATTATTCCATTGGTAGCGCAAATATCTGTTCTAAAGTAACTTCTGGAAAAACTCCTAACACGGAGATCACAGCAGCGAAATTCAATGAGTTCAAGATTATTCATTGCAGTGCACGGCGAAATGACTAGAAAACAAAAGTATGAGAAGTGTAGGAAAAATAAGGAAAAAAAAGTTTTTTTGTTTAATCTTTTAAACTGACTTTAAACTTTTAAAAGAAATTAATAGTCTAAATTATTTTGTAAGGTTTTTTTGGAATTTATATCTTTCCTTAAATTATAGAGCAAAGTCTGACACATGTGTTACTTCAAATTTCTCATCATTCTTTTTGTTGTTTCTTTAGTAAAATTATTTTGATAAGATGATGCCAAAAAATCTTTATTGTTAAAAGAAAATTTATGCACTTCAAAGAGGGTAAACACTATCTGGTGACCAAGTAAAGTCACAAGTATCAAAGTAAAGTCACAAGTATCAGATATTTAAGAAAAGTGAAAGGGGAAAAACAAGTTTGATCTCTGCTTAACCTTTTTTTTCGAGGATTTGAAAAACGATGCCATTATCTAAGATTATGCTTCCATCTGACACATTGAAATATAGCCCTATTTCATGAGTTCATCAGGAAAGATCATGTTCCTCAAGACTATTGTACTTTGTTTGAAGAGTTTTTTTTTTCCTATCCATGTTGTAGTTTGTAAATGTTTTTTATATGACTCTGAAAGATGCTTATGATTTATAATTTATATAAAAAAAATTCTTTCCTGTGATTTATACTTAAATTCTTTTCGAGGATTTGAAAACTATGTCATTATCTGAGATTATGCTTTCATCTAATATGTTGAAAATATTGCTCTGTTTTTTAGAGTTGATAAGGAAAGATCATGTTCTTTAAGACTAAATTATATTTCCTTTAAAAAGTTTTCAAAAGAGTTTTTTTTTATGTATATTGTAGTTTGTAACTGTATACATGACTCTGGAAAATGCTTAAGATTTATAATTTTTTTAAATTTCTTGTTATTTGTACTGAAGTTCTTTCAGAGGATTTTAAAACAATGTCACTATCTGAAATAATGTTTTCATCTAACACGTTGAAATATTGCTCTTTTTTTAGAGTTCATAAGGAAATATCATGTTTTTTAAGAGACTAAATTGTATTTTCTTTAAAAAGTTCTCAAAAAGAGTTTTTTTTATCTATGTTGTAGTTTGTAAATAGTTTATATGACTCTAGAAGATGCTTCTGATTTATAATTTATTTGAAAATATCTTGCTTGTCATTTATACTTACTGTCTTCGAGGATTTGAAAACTATACCATTATCTGAGATTATGTTTTCATTTAACACGTTGAAATATTGCCCTGTTTTTTAGAGTTCATAAGGAAAGATCACGTTCTTTAAGAATAATTGTATTTTCTTTGAAGAGATTTCAAGATAAGTATTTTTTTTTTATCTATGTAGCAGTTTGTAAATATTTGACATGATTGACAAAGCAACTGAAACGAATATGTTTTGTTACTTTCAGTTGCTTTGTTACTAAAAAGAACATTTGCTTAGGTTTTTATTCTACATTTTTCGTGAATTAACAAAACAAGGCTATTTCCTGACATTATGCTTCCAATTACATTGGAAATTGCTCTATTACATTTCAAAACTAATTACTGAATTCAAAATTTTTTTTATTCCATTGTTCGAATAAGAGCGACAAAAACTTAATGGTTCTGGGATATGTCTGGGGATAAATTAAAATAAAAAAAGATATCACTTTTATACAGCTTGAAAATTTCATGATTTTAGGTGTTAAGCTTTTTTGCAGCAAAACAAATTGTCACAGAAACATTCAAAACTGTAGTGGTTGCTCCGGCTTGTACAATCTTTTAATAAAAAAATTTTTCTGTACAAACTAATGCACTTTTTTTATTAATTAGATGATTGACCGAAAGACATATTGACTCATTCCCCCATTCACTAATTTGCCAACTTACTGATTTACTAATTCAAAAATTATCTGATATGCTTGCCTCCTTCCAATAATTCACTTCACACAATAATTCACATTCAATTAATCGATCATCTACTTATTCACTCGAATTCAGATTCAGTTTAATTATGATTAAAATTACATTCAGTTGATTTAGGTTAATTAATTATTATCATAATATTCATACAATTCTTTATTCTCAGTATATATTGTCATACACGACTAAAAGGAATTTTTTATTTATTCCCATATTTCTGTAAAGCTTTTCTATCTTGATTCTCTTAATGAAAGCAATAGAATTAGTTAATAAGTTACTGCCTTAAAAAAATGGATTTTTTAGAGCATCTCTTAACGGTGTTAGTAAAGCAAGAACAAAGCAACGAAGCAAGATGTAATGAAGCAAAGAAAAAAACTTTCTGCTAATAAAATTTACTTTATATTTTAGTTTTTAATTGCTGATTAGCTTAAGATTTATGCTTGATAGAATTAACGTTTGATTATTTTCAATGGATCGGAAATAAAAAAAACTAGATTATTTTGATTTCTTTTACTTTCATATTTTTTTACTTTTAAATTTCAATTGAAAATCAGTTTTTTTTTCATGTCTTATAAATTGAAAGACACAACTGGTATTTGCTTTTCAATTTTTAGTAATCGAAATGTTTAAGTTAATTTTATTTTTCAGAAAATTTTTTTTTGTTAAAAAGTAATCTTTTTTTATTTTATTTTTAGACTTTTTTTCTTTTTCTTGTATTAATATTGAATATAAAAGATTTAAAGGCTCTCGGAATTTTTACACTATGCTAAAATAACTGAATTAAATGCTTAAAAATTTTAACTATTTTTTACCTTATTTTAATTAGATTACCGAAACCGAGAATATTTATAAATTATAATAAATTTCTTATTATAGCTAACCAAAATTGCCTTAATAGTCACTTCCTTGAATAATTTTTTTTTATTCTTTAAATATGTTTGAACCTGAAAATTAAAGAAATTCTTCATCGCTTTATTTTTTAATAAAAGTGAGGAATTTTACAATTGCAAACCTTTTGGTCGATTCTAAGAAAAGTTTCAATAAAAATTGTTCTATTACAAAAAAATGAAAACTTTTGAAATATTATACATTTTTGAAAAATGACATCCATTTTGGCAACAAAAAATTTACATATTTATTTTAAATTTTGACATGTGGATTTCAAGATCAGAAATGAATAACCTAATTGTTGTATAGCTGTTGAAAAATGCTGGGTCATTCACATGAAAGTATGTTATTAATAATGACCACGTCAATAGCCAATAAATTTTAAGAAGTAAAATAGATTATATACACACTTAACGATTACTTGTTGTGACCTTTCAATACAGCTTTTTTTTTTACTGGTAAACTATAAAAGTAAAAAAATTTTATGCAAATTGGATTAAGTGTTTAAGCTCGAAAACTAGTGGAACTGAAAACTGCATTAAACATAGTTTTAAATGAAAACGTCGTATAAATTTAAAAAAATATTTATAACAAGTAAATACGAAAAATTTTAAGAAAGAGAGAAAATATTGTAGTACATTCCCATACAACAAAGGAGAGGATAGGGATCGAGCGGGTTAAGACATAGAACCCAGATTGCGTATTCGAGAGTTGCGATCGCGAATAGAAAGTTTAATCTTTTTACTCAGGTTAATTACATCTGTATTTTTGTTCTGGGAATTCAAATGGATAGTGTTTTATTATAAATGTAAACTATAACAATCCAGAGCTCCATACCTACTCTAGTTCCGGTTAGAAAGTTTGCAACTGCTTACTACAGCTTATTCTGCGAGGTGATATTTTCAAACGAATAATTTTGTTTTCAATAAAAGAAATAAATTAGATAATTTCTGAGCTCAAATCTGCCGTACTTAATAAGATATTAATGCTATTAAGTAATTCTGGTGAGTTTGAAGTGAAAATTTGTTTTAGTTATTTATAGATATATTGATAAAAAAAGGTGACATGGTTGCTAGATTTTGAATAACTCGCTTTTTTGGCAGTCCTGGTCAGGCATAATCACTTCATTTCTTCACGAGTAGCTAAAACCCAACTCTGATAAAAAAATTCATCAAATGTGACTTAATGAACTGGGCAATATTAAGAAGATGAAGTAATATTTTAAGACACGTATTCACACATTGCTTGTATTCGGAGAAATAACCTTCGGTTCATTCGCGTAGATATATTAAATAATAATCAAAAAATTAATGTTTTCCTTTATCTTATAAAAGTTTGAATTAGAGCACTGTATTGAAGGTTAAGTTTTTTAAAATTTTGAATATTTACCAATTGCTCTGTTGAGTGAAATGTGCTCACGCAAAAAATAAAATTTTATTTTTAATATTCAAGGAATCGATTTCAACATTAATAATTAAAACTGAATATTTGTATTTATTAAAAGGTTTTAATCTATTTGAAAATCAAGACAGAAATTAACGCACTTCCTTACCCTACCCTATGACTCTCCACGCGCTAATGGTGAAAGCATGCGAAGTGTTGTGGTAGGTAGGGAGTTCTACTCTACGCCACCTGTAGCCCATTTCGATCGTTAATATTAGGTTATAATAAAACTGAAAATTATACAATTTTCTGATATATTGAAAAATACATGTAATTTTAGGTATTTAATTCGAAATATTTAAATAGTAAAACACAAGATATCAAATCATGGTTCAATGCATTGTATAGTTAATAACTTTCACTCATAAAATTTTTAAGCAAGTTTTTCATTTCCAAAGTAATTGCATTTTTAGAGCAGAAAAAAAGAATAACTGTTAAAAGCAATATTTCTTTAAACAACATATATTGAGAACAAATATAACTAAAAATATAAAGTTAGATTAAGAAAAAATGCTACAAATAATTATAATTACTTAAAAAATTGATAAATCTCAGTACATAAAAGCATAGTATTTCTTTATATATATATAATAACAGGGTTACATCCCTGTTATCATTGTTGTATTGAACTTGAATAATTCAGTCGTAAGCCATAATACGTTATCGAAAGGTTTATTTAAAGGTAGACTGGTGGTTAAAACAATTCACATCCCCACCCCACAAGGGAGGGTGTGTGGATAAAACTCCGGATGGTTCCGGCAGATCTTTAATGGAACACGTTATTCAGCAAGAGACATGCGAAAACAATCGCTCCCGCATTAAATGCTGACAGAGAATGATGTAAACAGGCTCAAGTCGTACATATGTTGTAACTCTACGCTTCATCGATAATCATTTAATGCTTCCTCATATGGAAGTGAAAGAGGGACAAGATTCTAAAAATAACTCTACCTTTGAAATATAAATCTAATTATAACTCTAATGGTATGTTTTCAGCCTTGAAGTCCCGAAATAGAATTTCAACACCTATTCTTTACCAAAAACATTTTATGAAAACGAAAGAGTTTTAATGTTGTTATTAATACAAAAGTATTTATAATTTTTGTATCACACACACACACACACACACACACACACACACACACACACACACACACACACACACACACACACACACACACACACACACACACACACACACACACACACACACACACACACACACACACACACACACACACACACACACACACACACACACACACACACACACACACACACACACACACACACACACACACACACACACACACACACACACACACACACACACACACACACACACACACACACACACACACACACACACACACACACACACACACACACACACACACACACACACACACACACACACACACACACACACACACACACACACACACACACACACACACACACACACACACACACACACACACACACACACACACACACACACACACACACACACACACACACACACACACACACACACACACACACACACACACACACACACACACACACACACACACACACACACACACACACACACACACACACACACACACACACACACACACACACACACACACACACACACACACACACACACACACACACACACACACACACACACACACACACACACACACACACACACACACACACACACACACACACACACACACACACACACACACACACACACACACACACACACACACACACACACACACACACACACACACACACACACACACACACACACACACACACACACACACACACACACACACACACACACACACACACACACACACACACACACACACACACACACACACACANACATGGTAGATAATAGTTTTATGCTCAAATTTGAAATATTTTTATTTTTTCGAAGTATGCAATTTTGCAAGGTAAGCGAGGACTTCGATACACAACATACACACTTTACACAGCTAATCGAGGACCTTCAGTAGAAAATATCGCATAGCATGCATTTTTGCTGAATTACTTTGTTCCAAGTCATTTAAATTTTAAAATATTTAGTTAGGAGATGTTTATACTTTGTGTTTTACATTCTATTTAAATGTTATTGCAAAAAAAATGTATATATATATATATATATTTCGTGTTTAGATGCTGAATTTTTTCATACCTTTTTGCTCCGAGAAATATGACAACTCGAAAGAAAATTAATACTCATACGGCAAAATAGACTTTTAAAAATAGACTTTTTAAAAATTCACTTTTGTTAAAATTTAAGATACTTCCTTTCAACTCTCAAATACCATACTTTTTTAAATTTTTTTTCCCATTATTTTGCTAATGTTAGGGCACTAAACTCGGTTGCGGATGAAAGCTCATCCAGATTCAGATCAATAAAAATAAACTTATTTGGGAAGTAAAGGTGGTCGGCGCGCAATGCAGACAACATTGCCAGTAACATTCCTATAAAACTGGAGTTCCTTGCGCATCACGGATATTTTGTTCTCATGAATTCTAGTTTT